ATGATGCATACATTGAACCCCTATTTTTGTGTAAATAAATTGTAGAACGAAAAGTACAGATAATTTTTGACTCACCCTCGTACATATTACTTTTCATATTTAATGCTCGCACGTTTTTTGCAAATAGGCAAGCGGATAAAACATGAACCTAATCATAGCTTAGAATTGAATAGTGATATTATTATGAATTATTTATATATGTTATAATATATTTATATATTATTTTCCTCTATAAATTTTAATTGTATAATACTTTTTTAAACAGTATTCTGTACATGCGTATGTGTGTGTATGTGTATGTATGTCTGCGTGCAGTGTTATATGTGTGTATAATCCCATTACATTAATATGGCGGTGACAGAGTAAAAAAGCTAGCAAATATGGGTTCTTATCAATAATTTACTTGTCTTGGGTATGCATATTTATAGTTGAATGATAACTGAGTAGTTTAGCTAACAGTAGAAATAAGGATTTTTAGACTAACGACAGGTATAGTAAAATAGTTGGAATTGGATTGACTAATGTCTAATTGCATGGTATAATAATTGGTGCGATTAACAGATATTTGCACGTTGCCACGGGCGGAGGGTACATGCATGGAGAAGCAATCTCGATGGTACTTTGATCAATCAGAGAATCGCTGCATGCCATTCTATTACACCGGCTGTAATGGCAATAGAAATAACTTTGAATCTAGAGATGCATGCGAGTCTGATTGTCCGCCTAAAATGGGTAAGATTTTATTTTCTCCACGTCCCTTTTGTAACATCTTTTCTTGCATCAAATGTTGTTACTCTGCCAAAAGCACGCATTCTTGTTGCATTCTTCATCACGTTAATGATACAAATTGTCTTTTTTAACTGTATGACGGAGAAAAATTCAATTTAATTTAATTATCATTGAGAGAGTAGAAGTTACATATAACCCACGGCGATATTATATCGTGTATAACACTTTGCAATTCTTTTTATCATATGTAGAGAAATTATATATATATCAAAAAGTATAAATAGTTGCATAAATTTCTCTCTTTCTCTTTATTTCTCTCAAGTTCGATAACATAAAAATTGATTATAATTATAGCTTATGCATATATTATACATACACGATAAATTTATTTCATACCAAAACTTTGGAAATTTATTATTATATTAATTAATATATCGTACTTTAACGTTTTAATGAAAAAACTAAAAATTCTTAATGTTTTTTACCTTTTAGTAATCAATAGCATAGCACAAGTACAATTTTCTAAATCTATGATCACAGAGCAAGATGTGTGCCTCCTGCCTGCTCTCCTGGGAGAGTGTCACAACTACACTCAACGATGGTACTACGATTCCTATGAGCAACACTGTCGACAATTCTATTACGGTGGCTGTGGCGGGAATGAGAATAATTTCTTGACCGAGCATGACTGCACCAACAGGTGTGAAGAAGCCATGACTACACTGCCTCCACCGGGACAAGTCGAGTTCCGGCTAGGTGAGTTTTGAATAACTTTGGAAATTGTTCACGAATAACGATACTATTATCAAATATCGTCTATTATCAAATAGAATTCTGCTTCCTCCCCGACGAACACGGTCCCTGCTCCGATAATCAAGTCAAATGGTTCTACGATAGTCGTGATGGCGTTTGCAAACAATTCCGGTACGGTGGCTGCCAGAGTAACGGCAACAATTTCAACACTCGCGAGGAATGCGAGTATCGCTGCGGAGAAGTCCAAGGTACGTAAGCCGTAAGCATGAAAAGCCGCAAAATAATAGAATCTATGAAAGCATTAAAATATCAAAAATTATATTTACAAGGGAGAATTTTGAAGTATATAAAGCGAAATTTATTTGTTAATATCTTTATTTAATTCATGTATTACAAAAAACCCAGAAAAGGTATTGTAAATGTTCAAAGAAAAATTGCAAAATTTTCAGATCCTTGCATCCTACCAGAGGTGGTCGGTCCGTGTAACGGTTTCGTGAAGCAATTCTACTATGACAAACGTTCAGATTCTTGCTACGAGTTCGAATACAGCGGCTGTCAAGGCAATAAGAATCGCTTCCAGGATAAAGAATCTTGCGAAAGCAAGTGTAAGCGGGGGACGGCTGTTACTCAAGCACCAGCCACGATAATGCCACCAAGTGGAGAACCGAAAAGTACGATCTGTTTGGCACCAGCCGATCCTGGCGATTGTGATAGCAGTATTACCGCGTTTTACTACGATGCCCAACATCAGATGTGCCAGGCGTTTATTTATGGCGGATGTGGTGGAAATGCCAACAAATTTCAAACCGAAGAACAATGCGAGCGGCTCTGTGGAAAATTCCATGGACAAGGTAAACGAACTCTATCTATGTCGCCATTTTGTTTGCAATAAATCTTTTCAAAATAACAAATAGAAAAGGCCAATGCAAGTCTAAGGCAGGTTGTGGATAGCCTTTCCTTGTAATTTTATTAAATTGTGAATTCTCAATAAATCTTTTCAGTTAAGTACCAAGTACTGGAGAGAGAGAGAGAGAGACAAATTGCTTATTCAATAAATATGTAAAGATCTAATCCCGAAGATTTACGTTTAAAAATTATTGCATAGCAATTGTCTTCATTTTTTTGCTACGTATCTTTTTACAAAACAATTCTTTAAAAAGATTAATTAATATGATTAAAATTAAATTAACGGTCTCTTTCCAGATATGTGTAATCTCGCTATGGACTCCGGCCCATGCAGAGGCGCTTTCCACAAATATTATTATGAGCCAAGTTTACGCGCCTGCCATGAATTCATTTATGGTGGATGCGATGGTAACGCTAACAGATTCAGTACAATTTCCGAATGCGAATCTATTTGCATACATCACGAGGAACCTGTACCTCCCGGAAACGACACCAGTGTTTCAAACTTATGTACGTATATTTATCTTATTGTCTCTTTAACATTTCTCGAACAACGATTCCTTCAAGCTATTAATTTTTCGTAATTATGATATTTTCGTCGAATTTCTTGTCATAAAATATATAGATTGTATAATAGTGTTTATGATGATGATTCAGCGATCTGTAAAGAACCAGTTGATAGTGGCTCTTGCACGTCCGGTTCCTGGAAGCGATTTTACTTTGACGAGGAACGTCAAACGTGTCGAGCATTTATTTATACTGGATGTGGTGGCAATCGCAACAGATTCAAGACTTTCGAATCTTGTATTAATACTTGCCTTAGGAGTAAGTTCAGGATACGAGGGCGCCAACAAGTTTCTTATTTTCTTTTTATTATTGCAGACATATAGCTTTGTTGCAGTGTCATCATCAATCATCATTTGTGTACATATAATCTCCATATATTGTTGTACATTTAAAGGCTTTTCTCGCTTTTTTCGCAATTTTTATTAAAATTCGTCGATTAAATTTAAATACATATTTTAAAACAATATTTACAACGGAACAAAAATGTAAAACATAGATAAAACTTGTATATATAAATTAATTTTCGACAAATGCAATAATTAATAAGGCATAATAACTTTTTAACACTTTGTATGTATTTGACATTTAGTGCAAATCACAAAATTGGAAACATAGAAAGTTTTGTACATACACAAAAAGTTTTAATATTGCAATGCCTATTTCTCTTCTTCGCTGTATGCTAACGCGCTATCGTATTTTTCAGCAATATAAATGTGTCAATAGCTTTTCTTTCCTTACGATAAAGTTACTCCTGCTTATGTTAAAATTATTCCTCTTAAGAAAATAAAAAAAATTGTCTATTTTTCATTACAGCGAGTAACGAAATAGATGTCGATTCGAATGATACGAAAGATCGGTGCGCAGAAGCCAAAGAAGAGTGTAATATTATCCGTTGTCCGTACGGCAAGGAGCAATATGTGGATTCACAGGATTGTGAACGCTGCCGTTGCGTCGATCCTTGCAGAACAAAGATCTGTCCTGAGAGTACTCGATGCGCCATTACGCTAGTCGCTACGCAAGACGGTACAGAATACAAAGGCGTTTGTCAATCGAGTAAGCAAAAAAATAGTTTTATATTAATTATTAATTATTATTAGTCACCGCCTTATGAATTGTTGACAAACACTATAAATCTAATATATAATTGCAGTTGTTAAACCTGGTCGTTGTCCAAGAGTATCCAACAGCACGAGATGTGAGCAAGAGTGTGCCACGGATGCAGACTGTCCCGGAGAATGGAAATGCTGTAACAGTGGCTGCGGTACGTCCTGCCTGGAACCCGCACCGGAAGAATCTTTGACAACGACATCACGGCCGACTGTTACCCCGCCGCAATACGGTGGTGAACCTGCGATGATTCAAGGACCCAGAGAGTCTAGTGTCAATGCGCAAGAAGGTGGCTATGTCACGATGACATGTGTCGCACTAGGAAATCCTAGACCAAATATCACATGGAGAAAGGATACTACATTGGTAACTCATATTACTGTGTATTTTAAGTGCGCTAAATAAGTACTTTATATCGTAGAAAAAGATAACAAATACGTTATCAAAATTTTCCGCTAGTTTGAATTATTGAAAATATTTTATGAATATCATCTATTTTAGATTGGACCTTCGGAGAAAAGACGACGTATACTACTCGATGGATCTCTTCAAATCATTAATTTATATACTTACGATAGAGGAACTTATGTGTGTATCGCTGATAACGGTTTAGGGCTGCCGGTAAGGTCGGAGTATCACTTGGACGTCACAGGTATATAAAGAATCCATTTATCTTGCAAAGAATGATCTCTACTCATTATAACTTTAGATAGAATAGCATTAATCGGTTATGGGACTGGCACTAATTTGGTCGTAATTGGTCTTGTTAATGAATGTCTGTGAAATGCATTGGAAAATATTGGAATAGATTTTTCTATTTTCATTTAACACTAATATATTCGCTGAGACATTGATTGTGGGTTTGCGTTTGAATCAAATGCATTTCGACATAACATGAAGTGAAATTAATAATGTCTTGTAGCATTAGTTATAAACTGAATGTCAATTAGTTTGCGAGTTGTATGTGGTGACGGTAAAATTAACATTTCTCCTTCTATCGTGCATGCTCCTTTTCTTGGACGCTTTAGAACCAAGCGAACTTCCCGTTGCCATCATTGGGGAGCCCGATACTCGTCTAACAGTGACGATGAACTCGCCGATAGCTCTGCATTGCTATGCCATGGGATGGCCAAGGCCGTTGGTCACTTGGTGGCGTGGCGACCAAATGTTACCTCTAAATTCAGACAATTACGAGCAAGACACCGATTACACTCTTCTGATACGCTCGGTAACTCTACCCAGCCTCGGCATTTACACCTGTCAGGCGTTTAATGGCGTCGGTACACCGGCCTCTTGGTCGGCGACCTTGCAAGCAATTGGACCCGTCTACAATGTTAAACCCGAACAGGAAGAATACACCAAATATCTCGTCCAGCCACCGAAGAGACCCACTACTGAAAAACCGCAGTATCCTTACAGACCTACCAGAACGCAATCTCCCGAGCACCAGACCTATGCTCCCGTTTATTCCTCGAGACCGCCTTACATCCCTCAGGTCATTCCTCTTGTGACCACCACTGAGCCTGGTAGCGCTAAGTACAAAGGTGAGATGGCTCATACTTATGTTTCTAGCTAATTGCATCGTTCATTGTGACAAATTAATTTGTCGCCTCGTTACTTTACCTCTCGTAAAGTTTTCACCTCGGTAAAATAGACTTTTCTTCCATTACACCTTTTAAATAAAGATTTTTTCAATTTCTTTCTCTGCGCGCCACAGTCACAATGACGATGTAATTGAATTCTTGGTTTCTTTCTCCTGCATGTACGCTTAGTATGGAATTTATTCACATTGCATTGCACTATCAGACTGAGACTGTGTTAAGGTAACGTGCTTAATGACAATTTCTAATATATTTTAAGAATTTAATACAATTAACAATGTATCCATATCGTTAGAAGAAAATGAAACTAATGTAAGTATACTCCAAATGGATTTCTCACATGATCATGGAGAGAGCTTTTTTTTATTTAATATTTATTAAAGAAAACTTTTTTACACTTTAGGAATATTAATAAACGTTATTTCTTTCACTTAGTGCCAGTCAAAGTCAACGTATCGGCAGGACAATCACAGTTCCCTGAAGGCAGTGACATAAGCATCGCTTGCACCGTCGACGGTTATCCTCTTCCACGTGTAGCTTGGTATAAGGACGATGAAAACACACCTATTCAAACGAACAATCGAATACAGATTTCTGGTAAAGCTATAAGCAATAATGCCGTTTATAAACATAAATATCTCTTTGTAAATATTACAGATAAAATTTTCTCTAATACAAATGTGTGTTAATATAAATCATACATTTTTATTTTCAGATCTCCATCGACTTATTATCAGCGATGCAAATCAGGAGGACTCTGGCCGATATCGATGCGAAGCGGACAATGAAATCTCTTCGCATTCCGATAGCGTTGATATAACCGTAGCTGGTAAGTGGCTCTGATATCAATCAAAACTTTACGTAGTTCTTAACAATTAACATGCGTTTAATTAATGTGACTGATTCTTTGAGATTATTGACAGATTATTTCTAAAGGATGCGTAACTAGCATGCATCATTATATAAATTGATTGTCATTAATATTTCGATTCTTGCTTAATATTGTGTTTCAAGACCAAGATGAAGTTATCGATGCACAGATCGAAACGATGTCGACCGACAACTCATTTCTCGTTGTGTTTTGTGTGATTGATTCTTTCAGGTATCTTCATTCATCCCCATTGCCAAGATAACACGTTCTTCGCCAACTGCGAGCTTATCGTGACTGCCAAGTATTGCACGCACAAGTACTACGCCAAGTTTTGCTGTCGATCGTGCACAGAGGCCGGTCAGCTGCCGGCGAAAGGACCTCATCTCGACAACTCAAGAAGAAGAAGGAGATCTATTCTGCGAATGCTCGTATAAGATATGAACTTTTCGGTATTTCCGACACACGTGATAGCACATATCGATTCTGGATCGTGGCCGGCGGGATTCGCGATAGAAAAAGAAAAAAGGTAAGGAAAGGAAGTGATTGCGCGTACCTGCCCTATCGGACGTGCCGGATAATCGACTTGTTAAATCACTGCCAAAGCCTTAGAGCGTTTATACATAGATATAATGTGTGTATACGGTTCCCATCTAACAAATAAGCGTCCGAAAACGATATCGCGCCACTTGACCCGCGCGATCTTGTTCTTCGACGTTTCTATCCATGTATATACGATCTGACGCTGAATCCTAGTCCGACGGAGCCATATTAGGCGGGGTAATTAACTTGTTCTTAAGAGACCAGTGGAAACGTCGCGACCGCGACCGCGTATCTTCCAAATGATATCCCGCATTACCGAAGTAACCCAATGTCGACTGATTAAGCGCGTAATTTTGCGGCTCGTATTATACGAATACGTGGGAGACATTGTTTCTGACTGGTGTTCTTTTAAGTATATATTTTATGTGTGTGTCGCCATAATAACTGTACTTCAGGTTAATCGTAGAATAATTGCCATATCTCACAGCAGCGTACCCGCAATAATATAAATTTCCGTTGTCAAGTCAACACAGCAAAGCTTTCTTGCACCGTCTTGAGAATACAATCTGAAGAGTCCTCATTGATGCGAAACGATACAGCCATTCCTTTCTCACGCGGCATAAAGTTAACGAGCACGATATGAGAATGGAACGATATACAAAGCTTTCTTGCATAGAACAGTTATCTAACAATAAGTCGAGTGTTGTCCTCGTTCATTGAACGCACTGTATTGCGTAATTAAAAAGGAACTTGTACCTATTTGTACTAAGCGTATGCGCACACGTTACGTTGTATAATATAAATAGTTTATTATGCAATATGCCATTTATACTCTATGATATTGTTACTACTTGTTTCTTGCATTCGCACATGCGATCATAACGCGTGCCGGCCCCAAGATAAACTCGTTATCTTTCGTTATCATAGAAGTTATATACATATATCATTCTTTTTCTCTAGGGAAAGAACGCTTAACACCTTAAGAGTTTAACACCTTAAATGTCGATAGCAGACACGTCTAACGAGACAAAGATAATGAAGAAGCATTAACATTTATATTCAGTTGAGAATTAAAATTTTTGTTATCGTCTCCAAAGATAAAAAAAAACTTTCAAGTGGACATGTAGCTTTGATTCGATGGACATTTAAGGGTTCTACTTCCTTTCAGATCAATTTGAACTGTACGTACTAAAATGTTTATCCGGTGAACACATGAAATTGAGATTGACTGTAAATGCCCGTTTGAGACTTCGTTATCCAATAACAACTTTGAAAGTAAAACTAGGTAATTTAAACGTAAAGCTTAGATATGTGCAAACGAGAGACATGTAATTCTATTTATGCAAGTGACGCGTAAATGTCGATATAATTTCGCGCTTGACTCACTTAATATTCTTAAATTATGCGTCTTATCGCAACTTTCATCTGTCGTGACACGCATGTACAGCCAATCTGCTAGTTTGTCCAATCAACTATTTTCGTGTACAAATTTGCTGCAATTTAACATTCGTTCCTGAAACATTTTAATCGTAACTATTAATTGTCCGCTATCGTAAGGCTGCGTTTGGAAACATCGCCCGAGTGTCCCAGTGTATCATCTTATCCTTAGTTAAACATTCGGTGAGCAACAAGGATGAAACAGTAGGGCACTTGGGTACAAGCGCAGCCTTATCGACATTCACGATGTATCAGGTAGATCGTAGAAATACCGATTAAGTTGACGATCATAAACGGGAAGAGAAAAGGTACCAAAACGCATTTATATACACACCGTAAGTGTAAGTCGTAAATCGAGATCGTTATCGGTCAGAATCGACGTGTCGCAAACCTCTAGGACAACTTCGGATTGTTCCGCACCCGCACCGAGTCACAGTAAAACGCAGTGCCTTATTAGATGACCTTCGAAAGGATTGAGGAAAGAGTGCTGAATATATACGACATCTCGTTAGTGTAAATAGCTGCCACACACCCGCGTATTTCTTTCCAGCATGACGTCTGTATCGTATCTATATAAAAGTAAATATATAGATTAGATTCATCCGGAGAGCATATTCGTTCAAGCACGAGCAAGAATAGTAGCGACGGAGATATTAAGTACTCTTCTCCTCTGTATTCTTCTTTAGAAATGACCAAGAGACATGTAAAACCGTTGTAGCGAAAAGTACCGTGTAGCGTAGTAATCCATTTAATTCGATAAAGCGGTCTAGTAAATGATATAGACAGTCGATGTTGATCAGTCGTCCCCGGAGATTCGCACTTAATTGCAGAAAAGAGAAACGGATAGAAGAACGAAGGAGTGCGAAAAGGTAATTGCGTTGAAAATCGTAAGGCACATCCTAGGTGCTACCCGTATTAAATTCGTTCTATTGTAAATAATTATTATTTACATCGTGTGATTCGAGGCATTTTGTAGCCCCCGAACATGCCCCCCCGTCATTTCACGTATAGATGTAATTTTCACACAGCGTTTAATTTCACGTTATCACTACGTGTACCACGAAAGGGTGACATATCTTGTACAGTAAGTACCGATGTCCGTAGATGCGTCTAGCAACGTTAAGATTACATCATGAACCCTTGAGACCGCGAACCTCACGGATTCGTTGGAACTTACCTCGCGCATTAATGACGTCGGTTATCGATAATGATCCGCTGTCTTCCTCGACACATCGACAAAGTGTGTCGCACTCGTTTCCTATCTTGACGTTGCGTATTTCATCGCGCGATCGATGCTACAAATTTCGACACAAACTCCTTGTAGAAGAAATTTGCCAAAAAAAGAGAGAGAGAGAGAACCACGATTCGTATCCCTCATGCGTTATTATCGATAGAGGTATAGAGCTCATCACAACAGTGCTACCGTAAAGTCTTAGCAGATGTAATTGTAATTGTAAGTACCATAGGTAATGATTAACATACATATATATAATTTTAAAATAAAGGTAGATATAAATATACGAGAGAATGCCATTATCTACGATTATTGTATGGACAATAATAATACATAAGGTCCTTAAATATATACGATTACACTGTCAAAACGATTGTTAATTTGTGATAACAAAAGACCAATCAACGAGACCATTCATAAAGCGAGTCTTTTTTTCTAAGGCGATAATACAGTAAAATTGTCTCTCAATATTATAGCGTTATTGTAATTCTGTGTAATAGTAACACAAAGGATTATTTTAATTAAGGATCTAAAATAATTATTCTGATTAAAGTCTTGGAAATTAAGAAGTCAATACGTGAAATGAGGCAGTAATTAACATACGCAAAGTCAGTTTTTCGTTGGTTCGTTGCGTGATTTCGGCATGCGATTAGGACGCATCAAAAAACGCTTGTGCTGCTCCTCGACTCTGACGGTTCTCTCTATGCGTTCCGTGGCGATGCGTTCGATCTCCGCGAACAGCTCGCTGTGCACGTCTATGCACTGACGAAAATCTTTACGATCTAGCCGATACACTTCGCAGACGTCGATCGCGACGACACTGGCTACTCTTCGTTGATCCGCCACTAACAGCGCGATCTCCCCGAAATGGGCACCGTTGTCCAAATGGCATATCTCGAAATAACAAAGAGTTAAAATTTCTTTTTCGCACTCTAAATAAACTCGGTATTGGATGTTCGAGGAACTAACTTCCTTTCCAGTTGGCGTTAAAACTGCAACAGTTCCGAAGGACAAAAAGAACATACAATCACCCTGACTGCCAGCTTTAATGATTACGTCATTTGGCAAATATAACTCGAATTTTAAGTTTTTCACTATTGACTGCAGTACGTTTCTTGGCAGGTTCTTAAAGATTGCCACGCTCTCGATCAATCGTCGGCAAGACTGAAGTGCAATCTCTTCGCGTAGCGGCTCTGTGGAAAATCAAAGTTTAATTTTAACAGTTCTTATTTTGCTAGGAAAACTTTATACTCCGTTTTCCTCTTCTTCGCGTAACATTTTGTTAACCTGTCAGATCTGATAAAATCCGTTTACTGCGAAAGTAAGTATTCTTGAAACGACAATGATAATAAGCTAGGAGACGCTTCTCCATGTGTGGCAACAATTGCTTTTGTCTCGTGTATGCTTTTACTTGATCTATTAACTCGTGAAACTTTGATTCGGATGATTTTCTCTCAGCTTTGATACGAAGGAACATAACTAAAAGATACAACGATATGCACAGGAAATGTCTAATAATGATTTCTGATAAGAAGATACGTAGATCTTACCCAATATGTAGCACACAATGAATCTGCCGATAATCATAAGAATACTATTGAAAATGATGGAGCCATTTGTCTCTGGTACAAACGGGCCGTAGCCACTTGCTAGTATATTTTCCAGTACGATAAATGCGGCGTTTTTAAATTTGAATATGAAACTGTTGTCCTCCAATTTCATCATCCAACAATCCCCGCATTCCTTTTTACATACATTATGAAGTACATTTTAATACTTGCATCCTTTAAAATATAAAAATATGGAAATGATCGCGTAGCTCGGTATTGTTGATGTGCTTACCGTCGGCGGGATGTTCATAAAGTACATGAGCAAAATCGGTATCAAGTAACACAAACAGGAGAACCAAAAGATTAAGTATAGCCCTAGCAATAGGGTGGTGGTGCATAATTCCCAATAAAAGTTTTTTATTTGAAAATGCTGAAAAAGTTGGTCGATATAAATGCGTCGTACGCCTCAAAAAATATGAAGGAAAATTACCGTAAACAGATAATGAATGTTTAAGTTATAAGTGTAATAGCGTGTCAACTTGAAGAGAGGCAGGAGATTAATTAAAGTAACGATATAACGAGGATTATTTCCAGGTAATCTTCGCCACTGTAGCGTCACATAATTATACGGAAAACTCGATATAATGTCCGGCACAAGAAATCCTTTCAGATAGGACCTGCGAAAAAATACGTATTTAGTGGCATCGAATAGAAATTAATGAAAATAATGAAAGAAGCAAAAACTTAATAAAATGTAAAATATCTCACGTAAATATTTTAGAAGGCTTCAGCTCGATAGACATGGTTTTCTTGTCATAATATCCCGTGACACAATTGAGGATTATATCTACCCAGCACATCACATAAATTGGGAAATTCACTGTATCCACACGAATTGATTCGTAATCCATTATAACGAAGCAAATCACAAAAGGTATCGTAAAGAAGGCAATTGTGTATACAGCCATCATCAAAATATCCCATATTAATCTGCGAATTTTCTCATTTAGCGAAAGAACAGTGTGTTTTTGTCGCACATAAGGTAAAGTCATTATTTGCAACGTCTTATATATAATTTCTGTTTTATTCAACACGTGCCTGGCGTAACTGAATGGATGTATTATCCACCAATATTTAGACTCAGCATGCCTTATTTTTTCAGCAGAGATTGCGGCCATGCTGTCCATATACAGATAGCATTTTGGAGTACGTTTGCTAATACCACACCAGGTTGTCCAGACATTTCTGAAAGTCAAGGGTTTTATACCCCCAAAAGGAAACTTACTTTCTCTTTTCAACGATAGTTCACATATATGCTCGATCATAATTGAATAGCAAGAATAAGAAAGATTTCTTATCGATGAGATATCCTAATGGCACATAAGGTTAAATTATTGTGGTTATATATCGAAGGAAAATTTCTATTGTTTTTTCGAATTCTATTAGCAGCTATCACTTTATTTCAAGTAACAACATGATATTTAAAAAATATCTGACAAGCTATCTTAAGAAATATTGACGTAACTAATCAATAAAGACCCAAAGAGTTTTATTAAAACAAGTAACAGTTACGCTGGATTTAGTTTAAGTTATCAGTCTTCCCGGGGGCATTTTCTTGCATCTTTTATTTTATTTTGTAAATGTTTTAAAAAAATATGAGTCGTATTACAGCTGCGTGTACATATTTCTGATCTGATTACGTAAATGATCACGAATTTCTTGAGGCAAGATTTCTTTGTGAATATAAATATGGAAATATGTATATATAATATTATGCTATTGAGGTTTATAATATCTAGAATATTTTTCTATCACGTTTATACTGTATGTAACTATAATTTTTGTGATATAATACGATTCTATTAAACTAGAGGTTCTCAATTGTATTTAACGATAAAAAGCAATGTACATATTTCAGACGTTTAAATTCATATCTTGTGCATACTTAAAAATATTTTCTAATTGCAAACAAAAAATTCGTATAAACCAGAATACAATTTTGTCAGATAAATAATAATTTGTCTAATGAGGCTCGCATTCAATTACATGTATTAATCTTGTTAATCTAACATTATTCGTATGGTTTTTTTGTTAGTGTAATTACTCGCGTGGGATGTTACATCTTAACATGACAAATCAATCTTTATTTTTCTCTTTGAAAATTTATAATTAAATAAAGATTAATAATACTTTATGTCTTTCAGATAAAGATAAGTGCAAAGTTTTTCTTTAAATTTTGAAACAATTTGTGCAGCATTCAATGAAAACGATTTTATCCTGCGAATTTAGTAAATTTCTAAGATGTATTTTACACGCGAGTAATGTAGGGTTAAATGTGAAAACCTCTAGATTATTCAAGCAATTTATGTTTCTCCATTTTGCACATGTATACATGTTATACTAATGTAACATTGATACTACGATATATAAATGCGCTATTATCTTTTGGGATAATCCGCGATCCGATAACTCGTTACATTTCTTCTGAGGTTCACTGGATGTTTCCCTTTTCTTAACATAGAATATTACAAAGACCACTACTTGGAATGTGATCGTATTTACCGATTGAAGCGGTTGATTATCACTCGTTATATTCACTGGATCAATCGAGCGTAACACGCGGATTACATAGTACAACATCCATGCGTCGGAAAGTCGATATAGTTGAGTAACATTAATTATCAAAATGCATCAACTTGTTCAGGGATACATGACGAAATGCAGCAGGAACACATTATTCAAGCGTCTCCCTTCGAGCTTTAACCAGGATTCGAACAACGGTCAACAATCAGAGTTCTGGTCACACGTATCAAACATCAAACATCTTTTAAATGTCAGTCTCTCTAATTTTACTTTTCACACGGAGCGTGAAAACCTTTACCAAACATTGTAAATTGTCCTTCGTGGATGTATCACAGTGCGCGGTATTTTCTTGCGAGGAGTTTTGTGCGGGGAATCAGCAATCTTAAACATCGATGCCGAGCAATTCTCGGCTGTCGGCCTTCAAAAAACGGCGACGTAAACTGCGACGACGAAACTCCCTCCATCAGACGGACGCGCGTTTCATCCGGAAACTGGCAGAAGTCGGGGGTGGTCGGTAGCCCTGATACCCGGAAGGATCCAGCAGCTCGGAATTTGCTGGGCCTAGGCAGGTGCAGGAGCATACGCTCACACAGTCGTCCGTGTCGTGCATGATTGGCACGTGGCCGGCCAGGAGCTTCCCGTTTACCGCCACAACCTCGCCGTCCAACGTCAGAATGTGATGCGAGGCAGATTGCATCTCAGTGTCGTCGCGACGTGCCTCGCTGGATTCCCTAAAGAGTGACGTGTTTCACAGAATATTAGTCATTAATATTTTTTCACTTGTAGGTGAAATAATTTGTTTTCTATTTACGTCGTCATGAAGCGCAATACGAGCAAATTAATACTAGCGGCGACTACGGCCAAGCCAAATAGGATGAAGATCAAACTCAAAATCACGTATCCAGGTTTCTTGGAGAGCGCTTGATCATTCTGCAATGTGATTCTTCGCATTATTATCTGTAATATTCCATTACTTGTTCCCTCATCGTCAGCCGAACGTTATTTACCTGGAGAGCGACATAATCGCCGAAACCTATAGTCGTGAGCGTTACAAAACAGTAATAAAAGCTATCGAAATAACTCCAGCCCTCGTATCTCGAAAATACTGCAGCGCCTGTCGTAATAATTATACTCGACAGCAGACCGGTCGCCAACATGAGATTCATCTCTGTGGCTTCGGTTTTCTGACACCTGAGATACGTCTTTGCTCGTCTGATGACGACCGACGCAAACTTATTCAATCGTTCGCCGATGCTCTGGAACATCACCAATCCCAGAGGAATTCCCACCATTGCGTACACCATACAAAACGCCTTCCCCGGTTTAGTTACAGGAGTGGAATGCCCGTAACCTTAAAGAAACATTTTTTTACATGTATATATTAAGATTTTATTAAGATTCTCTCTCTCTCTCTCTCTCTCTCTCTCGTCTTGTGATTTTATTTAAATTATAAATATTTCGGTACAAAGCATAATTTTTAATTAAATTTAGATTTATTGTCCAGTTTCTAGAGCGTAATAAATTTAAAGGATCTTCGAGAAGACAAGTGTGACTCACCGATCATGGCTAATACTAAAGTGGCGAAGTAGAAGGCACCCGCGAATTTCCACTGCGGCCCCGCTTTATGTGGCTTGTTTTCTATTATTACAATTTCGACCATCTTGTAGTCCTCCGGCGTGATATTGTATTTCTTCATCATATTGCGGCGTATCTCTGCGGCGACAATTATTTCCCGCCGCGCGGGAGTGGCGGAAATAATTAATGGTCAATTATCGGCGAGCTTAAAAGAAATATTCATCGGCTGTAGCAGCGAAATGAGACTCACCCGAGAGAAATTCCCACCGTTTCCTCTCGGTGTCCGATTCAAGGGCGTCGAATACCGCGGCGCCAACGAGAAGATACGTAAATGTGCACACCACCAACGACAAAGTTCTAACATTCTGTCTCTTCATTTTCGCCGTTTTGTCCTTGTGAAAGTACCGCGCGCCTAAGCGCGCTACAGGATAAAAAATTCAGCGATCACACTCTCAACGAGTTTCCCGAGATTTCCCCTGACAGTAACATTCCTCGCGAAACGCGACATTTATGCAGGATACCACTTTGCGCGCAGCGTATAAATAAACATTTATTTTGCACCGGAAAGACGAACGCAGAAAATTTATCTCGCATAATAGGTGGAACAATCGTCGGAGAACTCGAGACGCCACGGTGCACAGTGTTCGCGAGACAACAAAATCGCCGCACGCTCTTCGTCCCGAGCACCGAGTATTGATCGCGAACGAGCGAAGGGAGTCTGCGGGGATACGCCGCAGCTGGCTCGTTCGAAAGTACACGTAGGGACGATCGCGGACCCCGGTGGTAAGGTAACTCGTGCTGATGTCGCAGACGAGCGATAACTGCGGCGACCGTGTGATAATCACAGCGGACGCTGAGGTCCAGTAGTGCTGTCGCGTTTTCGCCGCGACAGTAGCTGCGTCAGTTATGCACGGACCACCGATTGATGGAAATGCGAGCCTGACCAACTTTGGACAAAGCGAGACAGCAAATCTACTGCTGATAACTCAGCAACTTGCGTATTAACTTACCCGCAAATTTAGTATACGTATGCATATTAATTTATATCTTTTACCTTAATTTAAGTTGGTTTAACTCACTCGGCAGAAGACATTTATTAGACTTGTGATTACAGTTTTTTTTAATCTGAAACAGAGTAACAAGAAGTATTTCTCTGTCCTTGATAAATAAAATATTACTTATTGGAAATGTAAGGAAGCTATATAGTATAAGATATAATTTCGTATAATCCAGATATGAGATTTTACTCGTCGGAAAGAAAAGCTTTTCTGAATTTAAGAGAGAGAGAGAGAGAGAGAGAGAAGGCGGAGGGGAGGGAGGGACAGAGAGAGGGAGAGTAAGTTGATAAAGAAATATATAACTCTTATGTTTTTCCTATCTTATTTCTAAATTAGGTTTCTTATAACATTTTCAGGGACACTGTTGAAACTCTATAAAGAAAGAGAGACGAAACAATGAGAAAGCTGAAATATTGATATAAGAAGAGGTCATTATTAGAAACTCTGTCGGACATGGAAAAGTTTTCCACGTCCACTCATGACGTTGACAAACGCGTTAATAGACCCTCAGAAATGATTTATGGAAATATAGACTTACTATAAATATAAGCTGTAATAAATTATTGAAATAATTTGCCGTTGATACCTCGATTACGCATTTTCGGAAGAGAACAGTGTTAATTGCCGTCTAATGCAACGTCACGATGATAAATCAATAGAGTGAGAAAAAAGATTGTGTCTCTTATTTTTGCGACGGACAAAAATAGCTGATAGCTGCTGGTGATGAGACCAGAATTCTTCTTAGCAAGAGGGGTGTCATATATCAACATCGACCGGTGCAAATGTTTGATGAAGAGAAAGCCTGTTGGAATTATCACGGAGCTATAAGTAGAAATATTTTGCGCTTGAACCGACAGCAAGCAAATCTTAACATACGAGTCGTTTTTTCCTTCAAAATAAAATATAGTTTTTGAAATTTTACGTCTTTAGAATTGGAATATTGAAGCCCTGTAAATTCTGAAATAATTCTAAGTGATTAAGTAAGTAGATATTGCTTTTTAGTACAAAAGTTATATAAAATATGTTTATTGTGTTTTCCAAAATTGTCTAAAAACTCAGTAGTTACAAAATCAATATTTTATTCACAATTATAATATGTATTATAATTGTAGCATAGATATAGAAGTAGCATAGATCGTCATAAATTCAAAGAATAATTTATAATTTCTTCCTAAATTAGCGTAACGTATTAAAAATGAACACAAACGAATTTCTGGTAGTTCGAAAAGGATTTCTTAGAAGTAGGTATGTATAACTTTTGTCCTCATCGAAGTAAATTGAAATTGTTTAGTACAAAGAATACCTTTTGCGTCGGAAAAAGAGCACAGAATTGGTGGCATAAAAACGAATTCTGCTTGAACTCTTAAGAGTATTTTTAGAACAGAAATGAAATGGGAAAAGAATTCATTTCACAATTTGGGAATTTGAAAGGAATTCTTTTTAGATTCTCTGTGCTATCTAGGAAATTATGTATAAAATATTATGATAATTTTTTCAAAATCAGATAAATTATGTAAATGGTACTGTAAAGTTGATAAAATTTTATCTACTTTACATATTCCTTCAATTTTCCATTTTAACGAGCGTTTTAGTGTCATCTGCAGCAATTTCACAATACTGTGCTGCACCATGTATGTCATATGCAGGAGTTTCCCCGATCCAAGCATATGCAATCTCAGAAATTACAATAGCACTTTCGTGTTTCCCTAATTATTCGATACAATTTAAGCGCGCATATATGTATAAATTTACACGTAACGCCTTGTCCTGCACTATATACCTAATATGAGAAACAATGCATAATGAAAATTTAGCTTCAAAACAGGAAATATTATAATGAAAGCAAGTAAGTTAATATTTGCTGTGTATACAATATAGAAGTAGATTGCCTGGGTCAGTTTTTAATTTTCATAAACTTTGTTTTAGATTAATTACACATAACATAATGTCTACTGTTTTAAATCGCTTCCTGGCCAGTTTATCTCCAGTGCCTTCTATCATAGATAACAAACGGTAACTAAACTTTCCATATAATTGTATTAAGCCAAATGGCGACGTAACGAGATAAGTACCCGTAGATTATATTTTGCTCTGATAATTAAACAGATGAAGTTTTAATTGCCGCTAGCAATTTAACGAATTAACGCTTCTACATCGGAGTATCATTACGTCTGTTTTGTCTTGGTCATCTAACCATAGGTCGATTCGAAACTTTTTCGTCTAATGTGATGCCTCGAGGTTACTCGAAACAATCGATTAGCTTGCATTGTTGTAGGAAATTGTTTCTTGTTTTAGCTTTCAATTATCTGAAGCCTAATTTACAATGTGCTCTCCGCACCTAGAAACATTCTATTGTATATAAACGAATCGAAACACTTAAAAAAATTGTCGACAGTGTACGATTGTACAGTGTATAATGTACAATTTATCCGCTTGCGCAAATGTTTTAAACGTATTTACTGACTACAAAGTAGAATGTTTCTAGACGCAAAGAGCACATTGTAGATTAGGCTTTGTAACAGAACACACAAGATCTGTCGTTTCTCGGGCGAAAGACGTTAAACCTGTGAGAAACGCTATGAGAAACAAATGGATTCTTATAATACAGATTAATTTCTGAGAATGAATTGTACAACGATGCATTACATTGTCGTCTCTGGGCGCTGTATTATCTACGTGTATGTTCCGGAAGTTCAGAGTTTTCTATCTCAGTGTACGATTTCTTACAATTAAACAGAAATACTTGTAACTCTATCTATAATTCAATCATGACGCGTATGATAAAATATTAAATTTTGTGAACACTTCTAGGACACGGCGCCTTTGTAGAACTGTAGAAACTTGTCATTGTAATAAAAGAAAACAGAAAAAGAACAGACAGCAAAGGGAATTAACTTTCTACGGTATACAATTACGTCGTTTTTCATCTCTTTGTCAGCGTATACGAATTCTCGTGATTAAAATAGAAATACTTGTGACTCTATTAATAATTGAATCATGACGCGTATAATAAAATATTTAATTTTGTAAACACTTGTCGGACACGGAACTGTAGAAACTTGCCGTAATAAACGAAAAAAGACAAAGAACAGACAACAAAGAGAATTACTGTCTACGGTACACAATTACGTCGTTTTTCATCTCTTTGTCAGCGTATACGAATTCTCGTGATTAAAATAGAAATACTTGTGACTCTATTAATAATTGAATCATGACGCGTATAATAAAATATTTAATTTTGTAAACACTTGTCGGACACGGAACTGTAGAAACTTGCCGTAATAAAAGAAAGAAGAAAAGGAACAGACTGCAAAAAGAATTACCTCCCACGGTACGCAATTACGTCGCAATTTTTTTTTTCCACGAAGCATTCTATTTGCCTCAGCCACCCCCATGATGCGCCAGTAAATCTCACCGTGTCGCATTACGGTACGGGCGGAATTTGTTAAGACGAGTAATTGATTCCGTATCTTTGTGTTGACTGTATGTCCCTGAATCTCTGGGTATGTTTGCACCACCAGTATGCAATAAATCGGGACTTGTCACGTGCCTGCGGATAAGTTGCTCAAGAAGCATACCAGTAACTCAAGGCTGTATGTAAAAATTGACTTTTAAAGAACAATTTAAAAAATTATACATGATCTTTCTTACATTATACGTGTAGTATTTTATATGCATGTATTTTGAAACTACCAATATCGCGACTACATTCATTGTTTTTCTGCGAAAATAAAAGAATCGAAGAACATGATTCAATTTTTATTTCAGGTCGGTGCCAACTATGTAACGAATGTAACCGCATGTTCTTGCGACGCGAATTTCCCGTGCGGAAGCAGAAGAGAAATATCATTATGAGATAATGGCGTCATCAAAGGGAAAAACGGGAGACCGACCGGTGAGAAGGCGAATAACAAGACGAATATCACGCCCTGACACTCGTTCCCAAGTTAAATCGGTACGCCGTAAACGCGCGCACACTCCATATCGACGGCAGCCATACAATTCCGTCAGCATACCTCAATTGGTCTATGAACTCCTTACCGTCGACAAATATAATCAGGGTAATACGACCGAGACATAATAATATGATTAACAGCAATGGCTGCAATAAGTCCAATAAATTATTTTGACATACTCTTAAGGATCGTCTACAATAGATGAAGTAAGCCTGGCGTCAGAAATAAGAGTAGGAGTAGAGAAATAAACCATTTCCATTTCTTACTCCTACTTCAGCTCTGACGCATACTCTCGGCGAATTAGAGCGATGTTCGACCAGTGCTATAAGTATTAAAAAAATTATGCCTGTACTTTAGCTTTTACACTGAAAGGTAAAGGTTACGGTTTTCTTACTTCTTACTGCTTGCTTCCAATATAGATGGTCCTTTAAGCACCACACGAACTTTTCAGCTCGAAACCAAGCACATTCCATAACATCTAACGTTAAGTTTTCTAATTGTATAATGTATTGCATGCAATCATAATCGATACTGGATAAAACATTATGTCATTAGCTAGAAATAACCTAAAGATACCGATTTGTAATCTAACATTGTTTCTATATATCTGTTGTTGCAGAAGCAAGACGCTTTCCGTCTCCGGAACGCTTCGAGGCACGCTCTCGAAGAATGCAGAATTCTCACGAGCAGCAAAGGCTCCCGTATGGGGCAGTCGACCATCGCGAGGATTCGGAATCCGTGCAAGTGCCCGAATACACAATAGAATCCAGACCTACATCCGTCGATAGTCTCACCGAAGCAACGGATGCTGCAAATAGCTCGGCGCCGACGAGTTCCGCGAATAGCAGCGTGTCAAATGTCTCAATGGAACCAATCAAGCTGGCAAACTCGCTCAACAGCGCCAAAGCGCTTTTCAGGAAGAGATCCCTGGTACAGCTCATTAACAGTTACATCAAAGCTGGCATCGAAGAAGGTGCATTTTTCAATGGAGTTTCTCAGCCTATATATATATATATAGCGGTAAAAGTAAATGTTGAATAATATAATAGCAGCAAAACTTTAGATTGCTCCTCTCATAGAGACCTAAAGACACTGCTATAACATAATTGTTTTCACGTTAGAAGCTCGCATAAATCTCCTTTGAGGGATTTACGAAGATAAATGAAATAAAATAATTTATCTCGTTGTTTCCCTCTTTCTCTCCCAGGCCGTTTAAAACAAGCCAAATGATTTAAAAAGCGTTTGCATACAATTTTAGAAGCAATTATTTTGAAAAGATTTTAAGAGGCCCTTTCTTCTTCTTTTTTCTTCTAACAGTTTATATAATAAACTGACAATTTTTGCGCGGAGCACACGAGTAGGTGTAACCGATGACTCCTAGAACAAATGCATCAAACGAGGGCGTTTCGAGTAGACAGGCTCGTTTGATACGTTTGTGTCACGTCAATTGTCATTACATCGCGTTGTACGTAAAAGCGCTGCTCTTAAGAGCGACGTCAAAGTTCACAAGTGATGACAAATGCAAACAACGAACGATATCCACATTGTAGGAAAGCGACAGGCGAAAAAGTATATCCGCAAGGCGCTGTCTTTCGGCGTGAGATCAGGCTACTTGATCCCGACCGACCGACAAGGTAGCATGCTCCGCGTGTGCCCGACTCTGGACACACAGTCTTGGAGATGGGGACCGACCGACGCTGAGTCTCGACAAAGACGACGCATTGCTCGACGAGGGAAGACGCATTTGACAACTATCGCCGATCGAAAAGCAATGCGTCGCGGAATTCCACGAGATCAATTGCTTCACAGCGTGGGCGACAGGCGGACGGATACGAAAAGGAGAAACAGAACGCGTCTCGCTAAAAGTCCTGCCAGAAGCTCGAGCACGCGGGAGAGCCCTCCGAGAAAATCGCCTGGTAAATCACGCGAGAGAAACAAACGGAAAGCTTCCACAAAGAGGAACAGGTTTGTTAATTATTTTCTTTTGAAAAAGACATTTATTGTATCTCTTCAATTTGACGTTTATAAAAGTTAACGCGAAACGATTGCTTTTTTTTCAAAAATTGCAATATTGCAAAATTAAATAACTACTTCTTATAAATCCGTTTCTAAAAATACTCTATCATTATTTCTTATTCCATTGTATTGGACAGTGACTTAGCGAGCTTAACTGTATTACGAAAATGGATTTAATAGACTTTAATATAGTACGGACGTTTTAATAAGCTTAAATGCATTATGAATGCCTTAAACATGAAAAGCGAGAAAAGATTAAAAAATGTCACAGTGACGTTAAATTCTCTTTTCCTCGCTGTATTCATGTGACGCACAGCGTTCGCGATATTGTTTTACGTATTACATTTTGCCGGTGCATATCTGTTTAATAAAGAAAAATTAATTTGCTTGCGTCGTGCTTGTTTTAGCAAAATTAGTAATGCGATCAACAATAAACGAGAACAGCAGCAAAAAGAAGACAACGATAAAAATAAGAAGTCAGTCAAGAGGCGACGAACGTCCTTTTCCGCGAAACGTGCTAAGAATGATCACGAACCAGTTGGGGAAAGCTATAAAGACGTTAGCGGAAGAGATCGTGATCAATATAAAAGCAATGAGGAGAACTACAGACCTGAAAGACGAAAGTCGACGTCGAGTCAAGAGGATGAATCAATGGAGAAACGAGATACCGAGGCAAATATCAACGATGACAGGATAGAAAGTAGAAATTCCAACGATGAGGACAATGACAAAAAATCTGATGAAGGGAGTGTCGAACGTGACATGAGCGGCAGAACGGCCAGAGAAATAGAACATTGAAGAATTAAACGCCGATCTCTCGAATGAGACGCCTTTTTTTATTTAGAAACGAAAATTTCCTTTCTTTCATACTCTTTGTCTTTATAAAATATATTTCTTAGATGAAATTTTGGGATTTATTCGAAATTATATTTTCATATCGCAAACATGTGTCGTCGTTCTTTTCATTACTACATTTTATATAGACTCAAGAGAAAAAAACATCTATTCTGCAAATATTTAATTTTGTTAAAATCTTTTCAGGGACTATTCCAGGATGTGTTCTTCACGTCTTAAAAATAAATTAAATTGATAACGTTCTACTGATACAGTAATACTAATGAATCGATAAATAAGCAATTACAGTTGCTTTCGAATATTAACAGGGATTCTTTAGGTTTAATTTTAATTATATATTATATTCAAAACACGGGGATGATTTTTTTTTCCTTTCGAATGAAATTCGTCCAGCGCTTATTCCAAATTGTTGCAGATTTAATTAAGCTTGGCAAAATACTGCTGTCACAAACATTTTAATGTTCCTCTTTCTGTTCCTCTCTTCCGTCCCTTTTTCTATCCATTAAATGTGTCATAAACCCGCTTATCTTTAAAAACCAACAAGGTTAATTATTAGCTTTAATTAGGTTAAATATTAGTAAAATTAGATAAGATTAAATCCGCTATTCGAATTCAACTCGTAATTGAAACAAATATCATTGTATAAAGTAGATAAAACTTCTGCGACAGGTTAAAGCCAAAGAATTATCGCGTTTGATTTCTTTATATACATATATTACTGCATGTGATTTATTAAAAACTTAATTAGGAATTAATCGATTACTCGAACGATAATTGTAAATAATTTTAAACAAAACAAAGACGAGACGTGAAGAAAGTTCCGACGGGAGACGATGTCATTGTTTTTTCCTTTCAATCTTCAACATTTTGGATGATTTTAAACAAAATTCGTACCACGATCAAGTGATAATCCAGGAAATTCAAAAAATTAGTAAAAAATATTTAATAACTAGGCAACAAATCTTTCACGCTACCTGAAAACCAGAAGAAATAACAGAATTTTAACGGTAACCCCAAAATGGCTCGCATAAAGAAGCATCGGGATACGCAAACCCAAGAAACGAGTGAGTAATTATTTCGATACGTTAAAGGAATATTGATTACTTCTTGTAATATCTTCAAGCATTTTTTATTATCTAAAAGCAGCAAAGACACAGATTTTATATAAATTTCAATTTATAATTCTTTAGTTTAGTTATAAAGTTTAGCTATATAAAACATTATTCTTAGCTAAGTTGTATTTAAGATGCAATCTCTTTAAATTTTCTATTGTAATTGATAGTATATCTGATGCCAGTAAATCATCACATTAGTATTAGCATAGTGATGGTGTGCCACAGGCGTACATTTTTATATTTTAACTATTTTTTTATTGTATAATACGAAAAACAGCATATAAAGATTTATGCGAAATGAAAATAAGTATATAATAATAATTTATTCATCATAATGTAATCTAAAGAGCAACGTCGTCGCAAGCCGAACATTCCCGAGTTGGTCTACAAGTACCTTGCTGCGAACGAAGCTTTTGACGATACAGAACATCGTCTCGTAAGCAAATGCCATTCCTGCGGCCAAGAGAAACATCATGACGAAGTCATAGATTCTCCTTCGCAAGTTGTCAACAGGGGCATAGGTTACAGAGTAAGGCCAGGACAGCGCAAGGATAGTAGTAGAGTTTCAAAATTGCCCAAAGTCAAGCGACGTCCTATCTCCAAGGATCTGCCGAGCTCGTATTTGCAAAAATGCATAGATAGTGAAGGTATTAAAATTAATTTAAACAGTATAATTATAAATCGCTATACAATACACAAATTGGATTAACAAAGTTATACAATTATATACATATACATATTCATATGTAATATAGTGTTTTAAAATTGCAAAGAATGATAAAATAGGAAACTCGAGAAAATGTTATTCAAAGACAACTTTTTACTTCAAATTTTATAAATATTTTTTGATAGATACAAGAAAGGCAAAAAAGTATATGAAAAAAGCGCTGGACTTTGGTGTCGAGTCCGGTTACCTCATCCCTTCCGATCCTACGTATAGAATTCTACGCGTGTCCTCGGACTTAATGAAAAGCGATTCGCGAAGAAGCAAAAGCATTTGCGATACGGCTCTCTCTAAGAATCGTAATATTCCGACTAAACTCGAGGACCTCCAAGTGCAAGAGCAAAGGAGGCGGCGAGGAAGGCGCGGAAGGCGTAGTCGAAGATCAAAAAGTGGTTCGAGGACGCGTCGTAGAAGCAGAAGGGGGAGGAGAAGGAGCAGATCTCGTAGCATAGGACGTAAAAGGAACAGCAGGTAAATGTCAGGCATAACATATAATTCGGAATAATTATCAAAAAGTTCAAGAGCGTACAAAAATTCTTTTAATTGCAATTTAAAAAAAATTATTGCAATCCAAAATGAAAAAACGATAGAGGACAACATGAAGTTGAGATCATTTCTTGAATAGCAACTCAATTTTTTCTTACTTTGGAGCAAATTTTTGAAGATAAATTAAAAGTGAACGTAAATTTACAAATGTATGTAGGTGGGCTAATAACATACAGCATAATTCATTAATTTCTTTACACACTTTATTAATTACTTGAATACAACAGTTTTGAGACGGTGAAACGGTAAATAGGAAAAAAAAGGATGTCTATAATATGATATATCTATCTAGTTTACGTTTCTCCAATAATAAACCCATCGTTATCTACGATCGATAGGAAATTATTTTTATCTCCGCATAATTGCTTCTTGTTAGGCGAAATAATTAGAATCTAGCGTCATAATCGCTCAGAGTGGTCGCACTGTGAACTACAGTGTAGGTCTAGAAACTCGATAAAACGGTCAAAGGAATTTCCAGCCCGCAGAATCCCGAAGAGGTTGTCGAGGATAAGGCGGACGATTACGAGATGGATGAGAACGATCCAAAGAGCAATATTCACACGGGCGACATAGAAAGGGAACCGAAGACCGTTCGATCGAATCAACCTGACAAGGAGCGATCCACGGAGAAAGTTGAGGAGGATGGCTCGGATTTATCCCTCGACGAGGATGAAACTGATGACGAGATGGCGACCAAGGAAGCTGACATTACCAAATCATAGTTTTTCAAAGTTCAATTTAAATGCAATTTCTGTAAAGCGCAATCTCTTCTCCATTTTATTCATCCGATGCTTTAGCAAATGATTGACTTTGTATAAAATTATATTATTTATCTACGTTTTGATGTTCGTTTACAATCTAATAATTACACGTATAAAATGTAATGCATATAATCACGTGGTTAGTCATGTGCAATATACGTGCTTCAATAAACCGATGTGTATTCACATCGTATAACAAAATTGTCATTTGTTGAATCTCGAGATGCATTAGATTGTATTTTAGAACTAGAATTGAGAAAGATGCTGAAAATTTATAGATCTTAAGCTTTATGTATTACTTCCCTTTTCTAAATTTATTGCCAACATCCAAAGAGCGATTTTACGATTCCGCAAATTTACACGATTGCTTGGAGAACGTCCCTTTTGCGAATTCAAGACTTTAAGTGGAGGTGAAACTTTCTCTGCGAGATCGTAAGATACCTTACAAAGATACCTTACAATATGGAAAACAGGAAAAGCCCAAGCTGGCAGGTTGCGATAAAATATCAAAATGTCTATTATATCAAGATAACATTTAAACATTTTACCAATAAATTTTGGATTATGTCCTTTCTTCATATGCTTTTGTACGAATTGGAATCAATTCGGCCGACAGTCCGAGATAGATGGGTAGGTAAGTTTCCGAAAAGTAATTCTGGCCTCAGAGTAAATAGTAAACGAACAGATGTCAATTACCCAATTTTTGTACTCTTAACGCTTATTTATGTTGCAAAAATGGAAGTTCTGCAGGATTTACCAAGTAGCTAATTATCATGTATCAATCATGTATTAATCACGTACTGCCACTGCGCAAGATCTCTTTTAACGAAGTTTTAACAAGTTTAAAGAAATACGTATTATATTTCTCCAACAAACACTTTTTCTATAATTATCTAAATATTTTTCTCAAATTAAACTTATGTGAAATGGGTATTATTAGTATCCACCTGCATCAACTAGTGGATACGAAAATCGTTAGATCCCCTTGAGTTACGTAATTTTGTGCACGTCGCGTCGACCGGAAGCTACATGCTGCGAAGCCGACGATATGCTACAGAACTTGTCATAGATACTATATAAAACTTTACGTAAGTCTACCTTTCTCAGATTACGACATCACTCTCATTCAACTGCGCTCAGAAACTTCCACTTAGGGTGTTTCCGGTGCACTCGCCAGCTGAACAATTGCATTGTAACCTTGGCCAACTCCTAAGTTGTTTTCCGTGTGATTTCAAAATTGCAATTTTATATACTAAACTTCAATTATATTCATATTTACTGACTATTTACTGACTTCAATTGTATTCATATTTACTGACTATTAATAGAGCGATGTATATTTAAAATTATAAAAATGTCTTTTTAGGTAAGTATTGTTTTTTCCCTTTAAGAGATTTATACTGCACAGTTCACTTCTTCTTCTTTAAATGGCATCTGCCTTCAAATGAAGAACAATAGGTACGGCCTGCAGTTCACTTGAATACTACAAATGCTTCGAAGCGTTTTTCTTCTCCTTCTTTCTTTACTGAAAGAAAAGAAAAGAGGAATGCTTTAAATTTGTAGTGGACCGCAGCTTTAATTAATGATACTTTCAACTATGCCGATTGGCTCTCTCTCTCTCTCTCTCTCTCTCTCTCTCTCTCACTCTCTCTCACTCTCTCTCTTGACTAACTTCATGCTGAGAGAGTATCCTTTTAATCATAAATTCTTTAGAAACTTTCAAGACAAAAATTCTAATACAAAAATGTCGAGGCTACAATAGTTTTTAAATAATAAGCAATTACATTTCACAAATGACAGGCCTGAGATTTCGCGCGCTCAGGTACGGCGATACAACAAGTGATAAAGGTGTTTCTACGAATATCGCCCTTTTTAGCATAGTGACAACTTTCACAACAGACTTAGCGATTCATTCTCGAATTAATTGTTCCTCTTATTATAATATCTTTAACCATTTCTTTTGTTAACTTTGTGTAACGTCTTATTAATAAAAGGGAGGGGTTCACTATGATGAGCATCTTGATCAGACTGATATCCTTCGATTTAGTCGATCTCCGATATTCTGAGTGAACTTGGAATTTTCAGTTAGATTCAATCTAGTCTCCTGCCTCTCTTTATCCTCAAGTTTTCAAAATAACCGGATCATCGTCTTCCCAAATATTTTTTGTCCCGTTGAACGGTGACTTTGGTTCTCGCTCGCTCGCGAAACACATAGAAACACTTTTATCACTCGTCATGTCGCCGTGCCTGAGCGCGCGAAATCTCAGACCTGTCATTTGTGAAATATAATCGCTTATTATTTAAAAACTATCATAGCCTCGACATTTTTTTATTAGAATTTTCCTCTTGAAATTTTCTAAGGAATCTGCGATTCAAAGGATATCCGGTGGTTTTAGTACACCCTGTATATTTAACAGTTTGTCAATGTCAAATTACGTCTTCTTACGTTATGTCTTCTTCGCACGAAGAAAATCTTAAAGAAGATTATAAATAAATATATAAAAATTAAAACTAAATAGCGCGCGCGAAGCGACTATATGTCTTTGTTCTTTTTAAATAAAGTATTTAATATCAAGCAATTTATATTGTTATTAAAACAAAGAATTAAATAATTTATCTATAATAAGTTAAAATCTGCAATTAGGTAATACAGTACATTTATACACGTCAACTAAATTGAGGCAAAATCTCAGTAATTAGAATTTAAGAAACAATGATTTTTGTTTCGAAACATTTTCTCGATTGAACGGAGCCAATCGTTATCTTAAGTAATACTAATGAGCCCGCTGAATTATACACAAAATGTATAGTAACAGTCACTTCCCAGCGAGAAACGAGTCGTCGATCGACGTCGAAAACGATAGTGAATCGACATCGAAACGTGAAAGGTGACGTCGATTCGACATCGGTCGACGAGGCGTCCCTCGCGCGGAAAGTAATTCGAAATATTAGATACAGAATTTTCAACAGATTTTCAATTCGACGATACAACGAACTCGCAACGGTCGTGTTTGTTTTTCCCCTACGCAGTATCACGCGACGTTCCGCGTGCCATTGTGTACGCGAAGGTCGCAATCATTCGCTTGCCGAACCTCGGGCCGGCAGGCCGCGTCGAGGGTCGCTCCGTGCGTCGTATTACTTTTGCGTTATCAGTTTCCGAGACGCGATCGCGATGAGCGTGGGGCTAAAACGTTATTATTTCGTACACGTTTATCAGTAACAAGTAACGTTCTTCGAGTTATTATTAAGTTTCTGAAACTTGTAATGAGAAACGATTTGCACATTGAGGCGACGGCTCTTTATCAACGTAGATACTTGACGAGAGTAACTCGTCTAGAGTACGAATGTAAACCGTGGTACTTTGCCGCGATTATACGTACATACATCTCGTTTACGCATCGCGCTTTGAATTATCTGTCGATTTCGTAACCTGTTTGTTATTTTCGGTAAAAGAGAGAGAAATTTGATGTGCCGTTTTAGTGTTTTACGTTGTTCGCTGTGATTCGTTCCGTCGTACTTCGCAGTTCGTACATGCAGACAGTAGAGAAAGTTGCTTATTACGCGTCGTTACATTATACCTTAAAATATGATCGGAAATGTGTGTCTCAGTTAAATGTTACAATTAATAACGACTATTAATGTGTACATCGCAGTGAATGGGGATTGTAAAGTATCGTTTGGTTGCGGACTAAATAACTACTACTTTACCGCAGATGCTTGGATTCCGATGTCCGCGTCGCGTTTTAAATCGCTAATTTAAAAGCTTTATCTATTGCTATTTCTCAATTAAAAACGTCAGATCACGTGCCAGTTAAATGCGCGACGGAATATCACACGATATACGTTAATAATACTTGAAGTACTTGACGGTATTTCACGTCATTCGGGAGTGTCACGAGAAATTTCGCGCGAGTGTAATTAATTATTTTCGCGAGTGAATATTGTGTGAGTGCCACAAGGAAATCTAAGAGGAGGAGGCGGTTTGGGAGGCATCGGGCGATAGCGGAGCGATCCTGAGGTGAGTTTTATATACTTTATATATGATTTGCAAAATTAAGCACCTACTTCCCGTTTGTCTTATCTATTCAAACAATTGGAATAAGTTACAGACAAAATCATACTCTGAAATTTTGCGAGTTTATATTCGAAATAATAAGAAGACGTTTTTAGAAAGAAAATATAAAATATGTAATATGATAATTTCGATTTTAAATAATTATTCTATAGTAATCGTACGTCTATATTTTACCGCTCAACGTAGTTTACGACGTTGGCTCCAATTCCGCTATTACGCGTCGTATCGGTGAGTGATAAATTACCTTTTATGTCAAATTGACGTAATGGATCTATATAAAAATTGCATTAGGTCTACACTACGTAAGGAATACATTGGAATTTAAGATGGAATTTTATATACCCATACTTTCCCCAACTCAGTAAATAGCATGTCAATTACCTAAAACACGGCTCTTTTGTTGGAACAGTACGGTCGATAATCGATTTAAGTTTTGATATCGCAAGTTTTGATAGCGCATCTTTTTTAAATTACCGTAAAGAATTTACTACGAAGAACATCACCTCAGCCAGGGTTTAAATAATAAGAAGTTATATCCTGTTATATTATTAAATAAATTCTTATTTTTGAGACTGAGCTTTACGTTGCTTTGAGACTGAGCTCTACATTCAAATATAAACTCGCAAAATTTCAGAGTATGATTTTGTCTGTAACTTATTGCATCTACGTGTCTCAAACTGGTGCGCGAAGCACATAAAGTTGTAAATTGAATTTAGACGTTTAATAAACTGCAAACGATAAAAATACACGGTCTAAACGACAAAAATCTGATTTACAATAGAGACGACTTACTTCCATATACAATATATAATATATAAAATATCCGAATTTATTATTTATTAAATGCATAAGCACGCCATATCGTATCGTAAATAGGTGCAGACATTTCTCGTCGTTTCAGTCCTCGACGGTTGCCTTCCAAGATAAGTTTCGTAAATCGGATAAAATATTAAACGGGATTCACACAAAGTTTTATATATATCTCTTTATATAAAATCAATATTTTTTGCTCACGAGGAGAAATTAAAAGTTCCATTAAAGAGCATAATTCGATTATACCTGGCGCCCGTCCGTGCGAATCGCATCTACGAATTGCACTGGTCCCCATCCCCGCGGTTACAAAAGCCGTTAAGAGTCGCGCGACCTTGACTAGCCCGTGAACCCCAATCCGAAAATTTACGGGCGATCGCGCACATTCTTTCCCCTCGCCTTTCTTTTTATTCCCCGCGATCCCGACGAGGCGCCGAACCACCCTCCGTGCCGTTAGGTTCACCATCGTCGCGCATATTACGCTCGCTCCTGCTCGCTCTGCCGCCTGTGCGCTGCGCCGCGCCGCGCGATGCACACACGAAGGGGTGAAACGGATCGATCGCAGGGCTGCATCGCGTCTCCTCGACGACGACGACGAGACGCAACGCGGAACGTTTTCCGCTTCGACACGCCCGGCACGTCGTCGACACCGACGTCGCCGACGTCCCCGTCGTCCCCGTCGTCCCCGTCGTCCCCGTCTTCCCTGTCGTCGTCCTCCTCGTCGCGATTACCCCCGTCGTCGTCGGTCAGCGGATAGACGGATAGACGGCCGGCCGACGATTGTGCATCACGTGGACACGGAATTCACCCCGATGTCTTCTAGCTGCTCGCGGGGTGGTTGAACGTCACGGTCGCGACGACGACGGCGACGGCGGCGGCGACGGCGGCGGCCGATGTTGGCAGGCGCGCCCGCACACTCTCCCTCGATCGTCACTGGAGAACGATAGAAGAGCGACGGCGGGCTTCAGTCGGCACGCGGCGTCGCGACGCTAACCAACCCGCGTGCATCGCGCTAGATGTGTGTACTCGTGTGCTCGTCTCCTAAGCCCGGGACTTAGTTAAACAGTCAATTTTTCCTGACACAAGTCGCGAGCCTCGATTGTCGATTGATCGAAGGGTGCAGGATCCGAAGGCATTAAATACAGCGGAAACGCAGCATCCGCGACCGTTGAATCGCCGACCCAATCTTCTCTCATCGGTAAGTCTCGCTGACACTTACTCGGCTGCTCCCGACTGAAATGACCGATGAAACTGTTGATTGTAGCGTGTAACAAGTCTAATAATAAATAATAGCCAATTTTGTCTTTCGCGTAAATTGTGCTTGTGAGAAACGTCCAGTGGTCTCGCAAGCTCGGGCCTTCGCAGCTGGACTTTGGATCGCGTTTCTCGAGATCGATCGGATAAGTTGAAGCTTGGCGAGAAAAGTCGTTGTATCGTTCGCCAATTATTTGCATCAACAAACGCAGCGTTTCTTTGTAAAACGACATAGCCCGACGAGGCCACGGGTACGCCCATGCGTGAGGTCAATACAGTACATTCACTTGTATTATAAATGCAAAGAGCGCAACGATTAAACGTTGCAGGAATAATTAACACGCCGTACACATCAAAGAGAATAATTTTGTTATATTGGAGACGCTTTTGCGTATAATTAAAGGCTCGCGCGCGCGTCTGTGCTTCAATTAATTGTTTCTCCAATCGTTTTAAGATTAATCGTCTCCTACCTTCGCCTGCTAATCAACCCCCGTGTTTCGAGCAGCAAAGTGGCACATTGACAACTGAGACGTTATTTTAGCGTATTTTACATCTACACCGCTTCCTCGGTGGCGATTATTAACGTTGTCGTTAAATTTTCAAGCGTATGAATTTAATTATTTTAATTTTATAAAAAAATACTCCAATTTTACAAATGCATTCGAAAGAAACAATCGTATTACTTGGAAATGCAGAATAAACGACACGTTGCTTGTCTCACTTGCACCTTACGAGAAGCGTCTCGAAGTAAGGGCCTCGTCTTAGGGAAAGCTAAATTCGATTTCGCGTGTCATGCCTAGCCTTTCTTTCCGAGTGATTTAGTAATAACATCTGTACGACCAACTGTTCGTGTACGGGCACGTTTTCGTTTCTTTCGAAGATGACGATCATCCAATTTCGAGAGCCTCGTAGAGAGGAACACGAGAGGAATACGAGAGGATCGATTTGTCATGGCAATTATTCTCGCGTGGATATTACGGACAGTGAGCTGGCGCTAAAGGAGAGGAATATGCATTATGCATTGTTAATCTAGGCCGTAGCCGGCCTCGCCAATTACCGCGCAGACACCGTTCCCGCACGCTACCGGGGTGATAACATTGAATTTCGTTTTCCGAGTTCGACATCGGACCACGTGATAACATAACACCTGCCACTCGCGCCGCGATGACACGTATTTCTGACACGTTCCAGTAAGATGAAGCGGGTGTTCCCTCGCGTGACACGCCGCAATTTCCATATGCTAATTTAATCAAGTGTGCCAGAGAGTAATTTTTTATAGCAAAAAAAAAAAGAACGATGTCTTCAACTGTAAGAGGATAATTGCGTAACTGCACGACTTCGCAACATAATAGCGTGCTCTCGTCCATCGATTTTATCGAAACATTAAATTTCCAAAGTGGACACACGTGGTCTTTTTCAGACGTACGGCGTACAATTTAATCGGAGGGTTTTTCCACGTACGTATCACGCGACAATGTCCCGTTTCTCGCGCGAACGTAGTACAGCATGCGCTAACGAATCAGCAGGCGAGATAATATAATAATTATATCGCGTCTCTATCTTGTTCTCCAAGGAAATCAAATTTTGGGGTCGAAAGAGCGTGGAGTGTATTGTTACACGTTCAGAATTATAATGGCGAGTGAAGGAATATTACATTTAATTGGCACTAGCTTGAATTACTCGACGCTGTCCGGGCTCGCAAAGTATCAAGGGAATGAAATCGAGGGAGGGGTTGGGGCGTTCAGGTTTCGCGGTAACATATATTTTTCGCAGGGTTCCTACAAAGTGACTATGCAAAATTTGATCCAGATCGGCCAAAGGGTTTAGGAGTTAATAGGAAACACACACACAGGCATTCTGTTTCGTGTATATATGTAGATTATCGCGGTGTAGAAAAAAAAAACACTGTCCCCTTGGATGCATTCTCTTTTCTCCGTAATTAAACAGTCCGATTGCGTTATCTACGTTATCGTTCAATGTCATCTTGTACACTTGGTACGCCTTATATGTTTTACGCGCTATATATGCCTTCCTGATGCAATTGCCTTTACCTCGCTGCCTTACTGCCCTGCCACTAAACACAAAGACGCATACCGCTGTATCTTCCCTTGAAAGAGAAAAATAGAGAGCTGCGAGAAAATAATTTCTTTTTCTAGAAAACGCGCTTAAAGGGAAACGCGCCAAAGGAACTTGAAACCGGTAAATCTGAAAAAAAAAGCAGTTACTACATTCACGGATATGCGCATTTGCCAGTCGATATATAGTATCGTACGGAAGAGTCGCTTTGCAATTTGTTAACGTCTTATTTAAAAAGGAATGCACGAAATTGTAGACGTGCCGGTCTGTTTACGCTCGTTTACGCTTTCCGTTTCCATGATCTGTTTCATCTCATTTTTAAATTATGCCCGTTCTGTTACTCCAACTTTTACTTTTCCTCTGTCGCGATCGATCATCTCTTGATGCACGCGTAAGAGCTGCAACGATTCATCATTCACTCCCAGTCTGCACCTGCGGAGAGATAATTTGCTTCCTTCTTATAAAACTTATAAATAATTCTGCATATTATTTGCATTGCCGAAAAACTTGCGCCAGATAGTTCGGTCTATTTCTAGTTTAACATTACATTAGATTTAAATATTTACGAGAAAAAATGCTGCCACTTTAGAAATCTATGTCATTAATAATCTACAGATTATAGAAGTATATCTTGAAGTTATCTTTCTGTACCTCGTACGTTAAAAGGTTAGATTTCGCTTCTCCAAGAAAATAAAAGAGCCAGAAAATTAAATTAGTTTGTGGATAGAAAGCAGAAGAGCAAAGTAAAAGGTCGATGAAAATGTGCCGTTTATGATAACGTACGAAAGCCAGTCGATCGATTCTAACGGCATCGACGAAACACGCAAAAATAGATGGAGTATAGTGAAAATAGAAATACGATCTTTCTTATCGTTACGTGTAAAGAGCAAACAATGAAAAAACAATGAGAGAATTGACGTTTTTACGTCGATATTTTGTGCGGGTGCATGCATTAATCAGTACGGAACATCAACAACGTGCGTATTTGCCCTTTGTTAATCTCATCCTTTCACATCGAAGCTATATTGGTCTCGGTCCATTTTGAAAATTGTTGACGTTTGATAAAATGAACTCTCAGTGGAGCGCGCTAACAGCTCCGTTAGATATACACGTAACACAATAGCGACAGACGCTTCAAGAGAAAGAGGCAGTGTCGTCTCTACTTTAATCTCTCAGGGTACATAAATCTTCGAATTGACAGACGATATCCAACCTCACTCCAAGGTTGCAACCTCCGATTTCCAAGCTTTTAAAGAGGCGACAGAACGTACTGCACGCGATGGAATTCTCTTCAGAGTTTTCAGGTTTTTTTTTCTTAATCAAGAGCCCTAGTACCATTAGGAGAGTTAAACCGAATTTTATTTTGCGGATTAATTGCTGATACAATTACGTCTGAAAATTGAGAAAGTGGATGTTCGGCAAACGCTCTCGTAATAACGAATTTGCAAAATGCTTTTTCGTGCCGTTTGTCTCCCACGATAATACGAAATCAATTATCCCCAATAATAATGCGAAATTAAAATTTCATCCTACATTCGGAAACTTTTTACTCCATCCCGTACAAAAACGTGCCGCGCATTTATTCGCGGTGTAATTTAAATAAAAACTGCAACTCCCTGAAATTCAACCTACGTGAAATTTTTTTCTCCCAGCGTGTCGAGCGTTTCAAAGGGTGACGGTGTCTACGTTCGATACTAAGGGGGTATTGCTCCACTATAAACCCAGATTCTATTTTTGGCCACGTAATCTAGCCTTTAGACCGCGCATCATACTATTCACAGTATTCACGTGGTCGCGCGAATGTGTCGCATATTTTTTTAAATCCAAAGTAGAAGATCCGTGATCCACGACTCTCGATCGCGGGGCTCGGAATGATACTTCGCTATTTTATCATCCGTCTCGAGAGAACCCGAGGAGATCGAGTGTGTATAAAAGAGCTCCTTGCCTTTTCCTTTGTTACGCCCACTTTGCCTTGTTGTCTCAAGCGATCTAAAAGCAAAAGGCCGACGTTGAATATCACGTCAAAACGCATTTAATGTGTTTATCAATGTTATATATCGCGGAAAAGCTCCTAGACTCTTGTGAAAATTCTCAAGTAACCAACATCGTACGCCTTTAATGAAAACGACATTAATTGTGACGTAAAAATTTATCGGATGGGCAAAATGAAAAATCATTTTATTGAAAGTTTTATTACGTACGGAATTCCCGGCTACTTTTAATACTAAATTTCCGCGCAATTACTTATAAATCTTCAAATATAGAAAAATTATAAAGTGCATTAAAAGATACGATGTCCTGGGAACGATTCAAAAAGATAAAAGGACTTTGAGAAGAAATGAATGTTAGGGAGGAGGAAATCACGCCGAATAGCCCCGTCGAATTACGAATCAGTCGATGGCATAAATCTTTCACGCGCAAATAAAACGTCGATTCAATGGCGCGGAAAAAAAGTATGTATTAGACATTACGAACCGATATGTACTAAACAGTATTTCTATCGAGCGAGACTTTTGATTCTTCTTTAATTTATCCATTCGATAGCGTGATTTGCAATGGCTGGGAATAATCTTCATTATTTAAATTCGACGTGTAACTATACGGGAGCAAATTATAATAAATTAGGGCAGAATGGACTTTCTTGTACTCTTAAGATAATGTACGTTTTTAATCTTTGTCTTAAAGTAACGCACAATAACTGTCTTGTAACTTAAGAATACAAGACAGCCATTCTGCTCAGACCCTTATAATAAATGAGATACAATTACATATAATAAATGAGATACAAATTACATGGGCTTTAGAAGATGTCGCTTACAACGTAACTGTAAAAATGAATAAAAGTACTAAATATTTAAAATCGTGCAT